ATGTTTTCTCCTGTCACTCTTACAGTCAGTATGCCATTTGAGTGTCAAATGTTCCAAGCCTTCTTTCTTAATTATGTACCTTAGAAATTTAAAATGTCTCTTTCTGGTGTTGATTATAAGTGTCCCTTTTGTTTCTATTTTCCAAAAACTTCGACCTTGCTCACATGTTCAGTCTATGGTATTCTCAGCATCGTTCTGTAGAACCACATTTCTTCTTCTTCTGTGCGGAGATGGTTCAGCAATCACTGGCATACATAACAACTCGGTACTCTTTTCTTTATTTATAATGAATTTTTCCAGTTTCTTAATGCTTTGCTTAGCTTTTTTAAGATATCTTTCGCTATCCCAATACGCCTTCGGATTTCGGCGTCACACATTCTGTCCTCTGTTAAAACACTTCCCAGATATTTATATTGTTTAACTGCTTTATTTTAGTATCTCCAATATGTAATTTGCATGGACTCTGTTTTTAAATCAATACACACCAACCAAGGCGATAACGTCACTAAGATGCAAATGGCTACTGGGAGTGATATAGAATGAAAATGACTTGAGAAAGAACCGGGAACGTGATCGTAAACAGAAAACAATTGATAAACTTCTACTCCTGATCAAAAGACAGGGGAGGAATGTGAACCGGGCGCCTTTAGCTGACAACCCCGCATTTTGTTTTCGTCTCGTTATCCTTCATTAACTTTTGTGTGAGTTCTTGAAGTTTCGTTTCTATATCTTCTCTCATCACCTTGTTATTTGCATATCTTATGTTTTGGTAAGAGTGTAGCCACCAATAGTGAATCCTGGTAGGATTATTTCTAAGTCTCCCAGAACAGAGAAAAAGAAAGGAATCTGAAAAAAAATTGGTATGAACACCACCCAAACCCGGTTACGAAGATAGGGCCTATAACAATTTTATTGGACTTCACATTACACACAGACAGAACAATCAAATCTAATCGTCTAGACATCGTGATTAGAGACGGCAAAGAAAGAGCTTTCTAATTGATATGGAAATCCGTGCAGGCATTTCAAAAACTATCAAAATACAAGGACCTTGAAATTGAAATCTCATGAGAACACTCAACAATTCCAGTTGTAGTTGGAGCCCTCGGATTGACTGAAAAAGATTGATTCAAATAGACTCATCGAAGAGATTCCTGGCATCCCATGCCTTAAAGAAATACAATATTTTCTCACCAGTACAGCCCACACCTTACGAAGGGCTTTATCTATGTAAAATATGTGTGATCTTATTCTTTAAATGGCTCAGTGGAAAATGTCATGATGCCATTTCTGATCTTAGTTTTCTGGGTGGGACCCAGAAAGAAATAAGTACACACCAGAAATCAAAGAAAATAAAATAGTAATAACAATAATAATAATAATAATAATAATTATTATTATTATTTCCTTTGATTTCTGGCGTTTAGACATTTCTTTCCGTGTCCCGCCCAGAGACCTAAGGTTAGAAATGGCATCATGTCTCTTTCCACTGACAAAAAATAAATAAATAAATAAAATAAAATAAAAATTACTTTACATAGATAAAGCCTTTCGCAAAGTGTGGGCTGTACTTGTGAGAATTTTTTTTCAATTAGTCTACTGCAATCTTTTCCAAACAATCCTAGTGCTCCAACTACAACAGGGATTGTTGATGTTCCCATGTGCCACATTTTTGAGATTTCTATTTCAAGGTCCTTGCATTTTGACAGTTTTTTGATTATCTTCAAAGATACATTGCAGTCTCCAGGGACTGCCATATCAATATGGAGGCACCGTTTTTGTTTGTGGTCTTTAATAACAATGTCTGGGGGGTTGGCTTTGATTGTTCTGTCAGTGTGTATTGTGTAGTCCCATAGAATTGTAACAGGTCCTATCTCCGTAACCGGGTCTGGGTGGTGTTCATACCAGTTTCTTTCACTTTCCTTCCCGTAGAAGTTGCAGATTTTCCAGTGCAGATATTGGCCCACTCTGTCATGTCGGGTTTTATATTCAGTGGGTGCCAACACCGTGCAACCTGATACAAGATGATCAATCGTTTCTGGATATTTATCACAGAATCTGCATTTTGGGCTGACACAATATTTTAGTATATGTGCTTGATAATTCCTATTTAGCAAGCATTGGTCCTGCGCAGCAAGGATAAAACCTTCAGTTTCCGTTTTCAATCCTGCACTACGTAGCCACTGATGGGTACGGGTTTTGTCTACGTCAGCTTGTTTGGTACGGGCAGAGTATTGGCCATGAAGCGGTTTATATTGCCATCGCTTCTGTAACTGGTCGGTTGCATTTGTCTTTGCTTTCTTTTTGAAGTATTTTCAGCTTCATCCGGTGTATTGTGCATTAATTGTATTTCTGCGCCCATTTGAAGCTCCATTTTAAATTTGTTGGCTTCATTATTACGGAGTAAAGAAGCTTACTACTTTCATATTCTTTGACACATACTATCATTCAGTCTTCTGTAGTTTCCATGTATCCTTGGAGGCCAATTATTGTAGTTTTGTAGGACAGTTCTAGTTGAACTAATCCTCTGCCTCCTTCTGGGCACATACAGACGATCAACATCATCTTTGGGATGATGCATGCGGTAGCAAGTGAGAAGATTTCTCGTTTTGGCGCCCATTCGCTTAATTTCATCTATAGTCCAGTTAAGTTTATTATTTACGTATTTATTTATTTTATTTTATTATTTTTTTATTTATTTTATTATTTAAGTATTTATTATTAATAATAATAATAATAATAATAGTAATAATAATAATAATAATAAACAAAATGACTGACATATCTCTTCCAATATTTTTCAACAGTAAAAGCGTTATTTATAAAAGGAAAAATAAAAGAAAAAGCACAGTGTTTGACAATGTAAGACAATATTTGCACAGTATGTCTGTCTTTCTCATGTTATATTTAAGTTTTTTTTTTCAAGTATAAGAATATATAAATTTACAAAAAAATTAAGTCTTTTTACAAACGAAAGGGGGAAAAATAGAATTGTAATAAGGACATTAGCTTATTAGATAGAGCGTTATCAACCGTTACTGTAACTATATCGAGTCTGTTGATCTCCGGCTGTGAATAGACAACACGTATCATAGACAAAAGACCCACGGCATTTGTGCTTTAAGGGAGTTACATTGAACAATAAAAAAAACCTACTGACCATAGAACTGTGAGAGAAATAGCTCGCAAAACTACGGATTCTAAACTTTTATGGTCTGTTACATTATATTTCACTGCGTTATATTCATTTTTATTTTCACGGAAATAATATCTTTATTTTGATTAAATAGATCATCGATTAATATTATAAATAATAATAATAATAATAATAATAATAATAATAATAATAATAATAATAGCTTTCTTATTGAAAGACGCACGACCGTTACGACTTGTCAATACCTCATGAATAATGGACTATTCCGTTTTGAACGGTTGAAAAAAACGGAAATGATCTATCATCAGGGATGGTACTTGATTTCAGGGAGAAAATGAAAAAAAGAAAGAAGGGAAAAAAAGATAGAAGATTTTACATTTATTTCAGTGAAAATGCAAAATGTTGTTAATTTTAAATATTTTTATTTGTACACGCGATTTAGCTTAACCCTCCACTGAGTCAGGTTGTGACACAAGGTCGGTTTTTAACGTGGGAACCCGAGTGTTTTCCACTTCGGCCGCTGGTCTTAGCATGTCTAAGCTGGTTTTAGCTGGTCATAGCTTCTCGAAGCTGATCATAGTTTATCTAAGCTGGTCTTAGCTGGTCATAACTGGTCATAGCTTGTCTAAGCTGGTTTTAGCTGGTCATTGCTGGTCATAGCTTCTCGAAGCTAGTCATAGCTTGTCTAGGCTAGTTTTAGCTGGTCATTGCTGATCATTCCTGGTCATAGCTTCTCAAAGCTAGTCATAGCTTTTCTAAGCTGGTTTTAGCTGGTCATTGCTGGTCATAGCTTCTCGAAGCTAGTCATATTTTGTCTAAGCTGGTCTTAGCTGGTCATAGCTGGTTATAGTTTCTCGAAGCTGGTCATAGTTTGTCTAAGCTGGTCTTAGCTGGTCATATTTGTTCGTAGCTTCGCGAAGCTGGTCATAGCTTGTCTAACCTGGTCTTAGCTGGTCATAGCTTCTCGAAGCTGGCCATAGTTTTTCTAAGCTGGTCTTAGCTGGTCATAACTGGTCATAGCTTCTCAAAGCTGGTCATAGCTAGTCTAAGCAGGCCATAGCTTTTCTAAGCTGGACTTAACTGGTCATAGCTGGTCATAGCTTCTCGAAGCTGGTCATAGCTTGTCTAGACTGGTCTTAGCTGGTCAGAGCTTATCTAGACTGGTCTTAGCTGGTCAGAGCTTATCTAAGCTGGTCAGAGCTTGTCTTAGCTGGTCAGACCTGTCTAAGCCGGTCAAACCTTGTCTTAGCTGGTATTAACTGGTCATAGCTTGTCTAAGCTGGTGAGAGCTTGTTTAAGCTACCATTAGCCGGTCATACTACCTACGTAACATATATTACGCAACAGTTCGAGGACGCAAGGAAGGAGAGATCTTTAACGATGAAATACAGGCATTTCTACGGATATTTTATTGTCGTAGAAGTCGCCATGAGCTTATTCAATCTTTAACTTAAGAATTAAGATTCATCTGAAAATTCAAACAGGAACCGGTATTTCTAGTAAAGATAATATGGCAAACGACTAATGCTATCAGTCTGACTATTTGTAGTTCTTTTTTCCCAAAACACAGCCGTTAACCTTTGACATTTTAACTAACATTTTAGGAGCAATAATTACCAAATGGTTAATAATTACCAAATGGTTAATAATTACCAAATGGTTAATAATTACCAAATGGTTACACTCTTCGTCTCGAAGTATTAACATGACTCAACAATGTCCTCTATCGTTACAAATGAATTGTGAGTCGTCAAAGTTAGATGGACTGTAACACACTACATGAAGACACTGACTGTGGTTGGTGAGGTGGCCAAGAAGGACTCTACGCGTAGAAATAGTATTGCTAGTAAACAATGAAAAGGGCCCGTATTTTGCTGGCAGCAAATCTACTCAAAAGATTTGGGGAAAAAGAGAGCATTGAATAACAAGAATGAGGAGAAAGGACAGAAAGAGTGGGGGGAAGGAATAAAATGTTGAGAAGGCTTATGATGTGAAGAAAAGAGAAGAATGAAAACCTGAAAAGATTTTAACAATAAACGAATTATTTGGAGTCGTTGCAGTTGAGAAAAAAATGTCTGATTGGTAGTGCAGTAGACATAGACAATTGGATGAGAGATGGAAGCGAACGAATTCGGACAATGGATAAAATAGAAGGGAATAGGAAGGACCAATGGATGAGGGGATGAATGGGATGAAGGAGTTTACTCATTCAAAAAAGAATAAAAGAACGAATTGTCGAGAGAAAGGAGAACAAAAGCAAAAAAAAAAAGAGGTGGGAAAAATGGTGACTGAGAGAAAAACGAATCTCTGAAGATGGGTGTCGGAGAATGGAAACAAAACATAGAATGAAAATGCAGCGAGAAAGAAAGAATAGATAGATAGATAGATAGATAGATAGATAGATAGATAGATAGATAGATAGATAGATATAAAAGATGAATAGAGGTAGAGAAAGAAAGGATAGATAGATAGATAGATAGATAGATAGATAGATAGATAGATAGATATAAAAGATGAATAGATATAAAAAGATGAATAGAAAGGATAGAAAGAAAGGATAGATAGATAGATAGATAGATAGATAGATAAATGAATGAGGTAGAAAGAAAGGATAAAGGATAGATAGATAGATAGATAGATATATAGATAGATAGATAGATAGATCTGAACACATTAGGATAGATTATATCTGCATACTCTCTACCACAGGTATTGATCACACTCTCCACTTAAATATTAAACATTTTAAAACAATATATATATATATATATATATATATATATATATATATATATATATATATATATATATATAGGAAAGAGAGAGATAAAGAAATAGACAGAGAGAGAAGAGGATGAGAAATTAAATAAGTGAAAAGCCAGCTTTAGTTTACTCGTGTTTTACATTTCATTGAGATGTGCACATTGCCAATAACTTTTTCTTCTTTCCAACAACGCAGAAACTAACAACCAATATATCATTTCGCAATGCCAGATATATGAAGAAAGAAAGAAAGAAAGAAAGAAAGAAAGAAAGAAAATTAATTAATCAATTAAAAAAAATGAATGAAAACCTCCTCCAAACAGCTATTCTGAAAACAATTGGATGCTTCCAGTCGATAAAAAAGAAGAAAGGATCACTTTATTTTCTTAATTCAAACGTCAACTTTAACCAACGCGGACTACTTGGAATTCAAATGATTAGTAAAGTTTAGCGAGAAAAAAAGAAAGAAAATTGGAAGTCAAATGATATATTTTGAGAGGAGAAACAAGCAATATTAGATAGATAGATAGATAGATAGATAGGAAGGAAGGAAATGAGTTACATAGATATATATGAAGACTGAGGTAGATACAAATACATAGATAGATTTTTCGTTACCTATCTGATGAAGACATATAAGAGAAATGTATTATCAGATATTATTTTCGAAAGAAAAAACGATAGATACTAAAAGACTATTTTTCGTTATCCATCTGATGAAGCCAGATCGGCGAAATGCATTATCGGATAGTATTTTGGAAACATAGATAGATTTTTGTGGTGTGCTTCCTCTAATGATGCTATTGTGGACTCTTTCACTTACTATAAAGTTAGTAGGGAAATAAGCCTCGGGGGAACAGTGATATAGACTGTTCTTCCGACGCTGTAACTGTTCGCAGCTCCTGTCGAATTCTCTGCCTTGGACAGAGAGGAACCCGGACGAGACCTTCCGAAGGGCAGAGTCTCATTCAGGGAGGTAGATAAAACCGAACCCGTTTACGCTGGTTCTACGGGGACTTTTTGGCCGAGCCTACAGGTTCGGATGACCCACGTTAAACTCGGCCTTGTGCCACATTTACCCACGTGATATATCAACAGGGATATAGACTGAACACTGGTCAACCGACACACACTCCCGTTTTGTGTAACACTTTCTGTTGTATTTACTGTTCAATACATTTTTATCTGCAACCTCATGTTTTTTTTATTTCTTAGCCATTTCTTGCTCCCAACATAAATAGATAGATAGATCTTTCGTTATCCATCTGATGAAGCCATATAGGCGAAATGCATTTTGGTATAGTATTTTGAAAAGATAGATAGATAGATAGATAGATAGATAGATAGATGAAAAGACTTAAATATAATAGAAATGAAAAGAACGATAAATATAGCTTGAAAAAAGAATGCGATAGATAGATGAACGATGAATATAGCTGCTATGAAAAACTGAGATAGATAGATAGATAGATAGATAGAACAGACTGAAGATAGATAGATAGATAGATAGATAGATAGATAGATGATAGATAGATAGATGAATATGAACATAACTATGAGATAGATAGATAGATAGATAG